CTGACACTCTTCTAAGCCATCCCATCTCTCCTCTTGTGAGTCTTCTATCCTCAGCTGTTCTTAGTTTCTGTTAAAGAGAGCCGGACCAAAACAGGACCCCGAGCCCCAAACACCACACCGGACTTTGGAAGACAAAGAAAAGGAATATGAGGTGTGACTTCACACCACAAATAAAAGGACACCAAATAAAATAGCCAAGGAACCTACCTTCACATAGCAGGCCTTCCGGCGGCTGACAAAGGATCAAGTTTTGAATTTTTGTTTCTCAAATTGTAAGTGCAACTGGAATTAGTTTGTGTCATAAAAAATCAAATGTCTGTGCTGTCTCCACACTGACGGTTGGCTACAGTGCACCACTGATGTCTCTGGGAATATTAAGTGGTGAGGCCCTAATCTCTTTCAGGGTGAGATTCAGACAAGTGTCCAAAAACTATGAGAACAATTAAAAAAAAAAAAAAAAGTCCACCACAAAAAACAAACTCAAGTACTCTAGGATTATGAAATTGTTAACCCCATCCGCTAACCTTTCACACATGGAGCCACAGCTTATGTAATATGGAATTCTGAAATAACCTAATGACCCACTTTAAAAAAAATTATCTGTAATGTTAAATGTTACTCTTAAGCAGCTGAGACAATTTATATCAACATCAAGTTCCTAGCCGACTGACATGGGCGATCAGGTCTCTCCACAATCGACTATTGTCAACGGCTTATTCCTTGGTGATGTGCTGAAACCCCTCCATGCCATGATAAAAGCCTGTTAAGAATATTCTTACACTGTCTTTCCAGTGGTCACCACAAGTTCCAGCTTCCTTCTCATAACATGATCAAAAAGTGATATTGTCAGTTTCTGATGTTACTGATTTGTCTTCGGGCCCTGGCCTCTTTCAAAACATCTGGGTTGCTCTTTTTGTCTATCCAAGGAATTCTGAGGATTCTTCTGGAAAATAACATCTCTGAGACAACAAATTGTCTGCATTTATTTAACATAAATGGTTAAATTCAGTTTAAATACTTTTTTTTTGCTTTAAATACTTGAAATATTGCTTTCCTGGTAAGTAACTTTTACATGGAATACTTGAATTATGGCACGTCTTCAACTAACTGAAATACAGTAAAACCTAATTAATACAAATTCCATTGGCTAAAGAAAAAAAAAAAGGATTTGTGTTAAACAAATTTGTGCAAAATGTAACTTGTGCTAAAAAAAAATACAATCCTGCTGGGACCAGTATTTTTTAATTTTAACCTAGTATTCTTCTTAAGAGAGTTTGATTTAAGAAGGTTTTAACAGTATTAAATTTTACTTTCTAGCAACTAATATGTAGGTATCGTCAACGGATAAAAATATTTTAAGGCACATTTATGTAACAAATTAAAATATTCTTTTTTGTAAACTGACATCTTTTTTAACAAAAAGAGCTTGAATTAGTAAAGATCATATTTTTTAATTTATCAAAATGTTTCTCTGTAGTTATCAATTATTATGTAGTTTGAAATGCTTAAATTACTTAATGGTATATTTCTGTATTTAATTAAAATATTTCTCTCTGGAACTAACATCTTTAAAACATAAATAACTTAATTATTAATGACCATATTCTTTAATTAATCAAAATATATTTCAGCCGATACATCTGACTTCTTCAGGCATTTGTTACCCAGGTTAGCCTTTCCAGCTTTGTAGTTATTTTTTTATCTAGTTCAAAATGTCAAAAAATATCTAAAAACATCAAAATGCTTAAATTACAAAATGGCACATTTCTATAATTAAATCAAATGTTAAACGTTACTATCAGACATTTATGACCTGCATTTACCACTTTTTATAGGTTTTCAAAAACAGAGTCTTACGACGAATCTTTGGACCCATCAAAGATGCAAACAGCGGGGAATGGAGAGTGAGAAGCAATAACCAAATTCATAATCTGTTTAAATCACCACTGATCACTGGCATCATAAGAGTTAATAGACTGAAATGGTTGAGGCATATTGAAAGAATGTCAGATGACAGAGAAGTAAAAACTGTATACACAAGGAAGATGAATGGTTGCAGACCACGAGGCAGACCAATAAGAATGTGGAGAGATAATGTCCAGACGGACCTGCAAACACTTGGTGTCACCAACTGGAAAGAGAAGGCCAACCAGAGGGATGAATGGAGGCGGGTGATATCTGCAGCAATGAACCTCAAGGGCTCGGAATGCTGAAGAAAAAGAAGAAGATTTACCACTTTTTGGGTCATAGAGGACACGGGAAAAGCAGCATTTTACAAAATGAAGAATACTTTATGCAATCTTTCTTTGTCAATTGACAGGAGAAAGAGAATTGTCAAGAGTTATATAAATACTATCTTGGAGTGAATCAGGGACAGTTAGTTGATCAGTAAAAAATTGTTCTGAAGTGTTGGAGATGTGGTTTCAAATACCAATGATAAAATATCCTGGAGAGATTTTAAAAAAAAAAGAGTAATAAAGAGGTCTTGAAAGAAAGTGACTTAAGAAGAGAATTCTTCTTCTTCTTCGCGTTCACCAGCTGAAAACTGGTGGAAAGTTCTGGTTGTTTATCTACTTCTGGACTGCAGTCCTGTTTCAGAACCTGAGTATTGAGTGTGCATCCGTTTTACAGATCTGACTCATTTGTATGCAGACTGCTGGTTCCTTGCCTCTCAGGCAGATGCACTCCAACTCTGAAGGAAGCTCCCAGTTAGTCGACTCTTACGATATGCTTTTGGGTAGGCAGTGGGTCTATTCTTGTTTTCCCTACAACAGGGCCCCAGAACCCATACGGTTCTGATTGCCCCCATCAGAAGGAGACGATTTACATTCTTTGATCATGTTATGAGAAGGAGAAAACTGAAGTACAACATGAAGGCTGGAAAGTTAGAGAAGGAGAGGCAGAGGGAGACCAAGAGAGAAGATGCTGGACAGTTTGATATCACGGCACAAAAGATCATCTTTGTCAGAACTGACTAAAAGTACATGGAACAGAAGGTTGTGGATAGTAGACATGACTACCTACATCATACAGCATGGACTATAAGAAGAAGGAGACCAGGATGGGGGGGGTGGGTGGGGGGGAGGGGGGTTGGGGGGGGGTATAGACCTAAGGATATAAGACTGAAGGCTGCATGGTTAGTATAATCATCACGAACTGTGTAGGTCAGGATTGTTATTTTTGCCCCTTTCCCAGAAAATAACACCTCCATCCCTTACAGAGGATTGAAATCAAGTCCCTTGCAAGAGACCCCAGGGTTCTAAATGTTTTGGCCAGCCTCTCCTCTTATGTAACATAAATAGTTAAAATTATGAAGGATCAAGTTCTTTAAGACATCAACATACTCCTTTCAAGTAATTAATCTGTACAGAATTCTGAATGCTTAAAACACTTTATGGAACATTTCTGTAATCAACTAAAATGTAAAATGCTAATGCTACTCTGTGTAAACTAACTTTTATTTTGAATTTTGAATCGTCATTACAGCACTTGAGACACTCCCCTAAGTGCTCAGTCCCCATCTTCAGCAGAAAGCAAAGAGTTCCAATTGGGATGGTACCAGTAACTGTCTGATTGTATATCCGTCTCATCCTCTCCCTGAGTGTTGAGTGTCGGCCAGATCCCCTGGTAACTCCTCACAGCGCCATTCTCCTTAGACCATAATGATCTATCTGCGCCTCCGCACTGTTCACTCACTCCCAAAGGGCCCTCACAATATCTAACTTGTCATATATCAATTCACCACCAACTCGTGCAGGGCCAGCCAGTCTATCTGCCTGCTCATTTTCCAACACATCGGCATGACCCGGAGAAAATATCCAAAGGATGCTAACTACCAGGGACCTCTAAAGTGATGCTTGCCACTTTGCATGCAGCATGCCTGTCTTCCCCTTTCTCAACTTGCTCTACGAGTAACATTTATGTAAGAAGAATTGTTAACAATACTTTGAGGCACATTTCTCTAATAAAATGTTGAATGCTGCTTACAGATGATTAAAATTGCTCCTGTAACATGAACAGCAAAAATTATTTGGGCATATTTCTTTTTTTAAATCTTATATCGTCGACACACTTACTGACCCTCAACAAGCATGTATTAAAAGTCAAATAAGTAAGGGTTTGTGGAAATCAGATGTGTTGGGCCAAAAAAGTGCAGATACAGCGGCCTAGCTGTAAACCACAACACACTGTGCCAGCCACCAAACTAAGGCCAAAATTAGAAGTTAAAGAAATAACTATAATATTTATGTAGTACGCAATGGCTAAAACGACTTAGGCACGTACAATTTAAAAAAAAAAAAATTCAGCTGTCAGGTTATAAAATACTTAACAGGGATAGCTACAAATTAATTTACATAAAATTTCTGTTTTAAGTGAAATGTTGCCTTTAAATTTTAATATTCATAAAACATGAATAGCTAAAACTATCTTTAAGGCACTTTTATATAATTCACTATTATCTGACTGTCAAGTTACTGTAAACAAAAGTAAATAACAGTGATAGCTAAAATTAATTTACATCGTATTTCTGTGAATTAAGTGAAATTTTACTTTTGAATAACAATAACATCCTTGCAATATTTGTGAAAAAATAATAAAGTGAAATGTTGTTATCCGATATAACAATTATATCCTTGCAACATTTTAAAAGAAATCATTAAGTGAAATATTATTTTCAGATAACAATGACGTTCACACAAAATGTTTTTTTAAAAGAATTCCATGCAACATTTTAAAAAGAAATAATTAAGTAAAATGTTACTTTCAGTTAACCCAAACATTCATGCAACATTTTTTAAAGAAATAATTAAGTGAAATGTTACTTTCAGTTAACACAAACATCCATGCAACATGAAAGCTAACACTATAATTCAGCATGCTTTCTTAATCAAAATGCTGTTCTCACAGCATCAAGTTAGTCTCTAGCCATGTACAGTGAAGGAATTATTGAGTGACGACATGTTTTCATTGAACAACCTAAGCCCTGTTCATCCTCATAATCAACATTTGCCCATTGCATTCCTTGCTGCAGCTATAAGTGGCCTCAAAGTTGCAAGAGGCATGGACTTTTCTAGAAAAGGGTGTTCCAACAGCTGAGCTGCGTTGGCTCTGCCTTCCACCTCAACTTCCAAGCATCTGTGGAGGAAGTCTTTCAGTTCTGGTGACAGCTTATGCTCATCTTTAATTTCAGGTTTACCCTGGTGGGAAAAAAGAAAAGGTTTGGCATGTTTATTTTAAGAACAGTCTATTCTTTTAACTCTTCAACACTTTCAATCCAAGAACAATAGACCAAAAAAGGACACTGAAAATTTGCAAACATCATTATTTTCAAAAAGGTGACATTTATTCACATATGTGGTACAAAACATACTCTGCTCTATGTTGAAACAAAAAGGCAGATTTCCCCCAAAAATGCTGAGACCAAAAAAACAGAAACTGATCACACACAGCACAACCATTGCTTATGACACAAAAAGTAAAGACAGGAAAGCCAGTATGTGTATGGGCTATCTATCAGATAGCATGGCCAGTCCCCCGCCTGCATGCAACCTAGGTTGTACGACTGTATGCAGCATATACATTCCACAATGTCAGCACTTTAAATGGCCCACAAATCACTACCCCACAGCCTCAGCCTACGTCCTACGACTGCTTGCAGCCTAGAATGCATGACTGTATGCAGTGTATATTATAGGCTGTGTGCAGTCGTGCGATCTAGACTGCACTGTCTCGTAGGATGTAGGCTGCACTCTCCCACGTGGGATGTAGGCTGAGGCTGTGGGGTAGGGGTTAGGGCCAGTTATAGATGTTTTGGGGCCATTAAAAGCGCTCACATTGTGGAATATAGAACACGCAATGTCGCTGGCCGCTGACAACAATAAGTAAATATGACGTGTTGCTGGCCGCTTATTAAGCATGACACCCCCGGCAACATCGGACAGGGTCTGCGACACGATGAGGCATGAATAGGAAGGGAAGTCACTCTTTTTCTGGAGCGAGAAACGTAACAGGCACCATAAGTACAAATGAACGTATGTAAGCATAAAAGAATTATGTAAGTACAAATCAATGTGTTTAACTATAAACTAATGTATGTAATACAAATGAACATAAGTACAAGTGAATGTAAGTAAGAACAAATGAATGTATGTGAGTATAAGTGAATGTATGTAAATACTAATAAATGTTAAGTATAAGCTAATGAATGTAAGTTTAGAGTATAAACTAACATATATCAGCAAAACTTACCTTGGTGGCTATACGGTAGATGGCTTTAAGGGGAGTCTCATTCAAATAAGGTGGCTCTCCTTCTAACATTTCAATAATCATTATACCCAGACTCCAGATGTCCACTTTGTTGCCATACTGTTTTCTGCAGACAAATTATTCAAATGTCTGTTAAAAATATCTTGAACTTCATTACATTTAATGATTACAAACCTCTAGCTCCTCCATTTTTCTCTATTGTGGGTGGAGCGGATCCACTTCCCTTAGACAGTATGTTGTAATAAAAGGTACATAATTAAGAATTTGCTGAAATCGTATGAGCCTGAGGTGCAGGTATTGCATCAAAATGTAAACCGCAATGCAACAGGCAGTCTTTTAAAGATCAAACAAAGAAATGAAGGACCCTTTTCTCTCATATTTTCAGAGACCAACCTGCACTCGATGGGTGATGTGGTCAACACTGCATCGGCTGCCTTTACTTTTCAATACTTCACTTGGCTGAGTAGACCTGGGAGCCAATGACATTTTAAAAAAAAAAGAAGAAGAAAATAAATAAAAAACCACTTTGACATGAATAGTCTTCTTCTTCAAGCTCACCAGCCGTATACTCTGGCGGAAAGTTCTGGTCATTAATCCGCCTTCAAACTCTAGTCTTGTTCCAGAACCTCAGTGCTGTGTGTACATCCGTTATATAGATCTGGATTATTTGTATGCTGACTGTTGGTTCCTTGCCTCTCAGGCAGATGCACTCTGACTTCGAAGGAAAAGCCCCCAATTAGTTGACTCTTATGATATGCTTGTTTGGGAGGCAGTAGGCCTATTCTTGTTTTCACTACAATAGGACCCTGAAACACACACAGGGAGACGTGGATATGAACCCAAGACCTTTGGGTCAGTAGGCGAGAATACTATGCTAACCTTTTATTTTTAAGTACCAGTCAGTGTTTGACCGGTAATGTGGTTCTTCTTATTCTTCTTTGTGTTTATCAGCTGTAAACTCTGGCAGACAGTTATGGTTGTTCATCCACGTCTGGAATTTAGTCTTCTTCTAGAACTTGAGTTTTGCATGCGTAACCATTTTACAGATCTGGCTTATTATTATGTAGATTGTTGGTTCCCACCTCTTAACTCTAAAAGGCCCGAGCAACGGTGTGAGCATTGATTAAGAAGTTCTGTTTTGCTCAAACAAGGCTTTCATTGTCGACGGTGTGTCCCTTACATATTGCTTCGCGCACGGCTCCGTACTTGCTTATAATGTTCGGAAGTACGATTAAACTATTCAGGGAAAGTCACTCTGCCGAAATCCTTTCAGCTACATTTGTTATCAGAAGCCACATGTGCATAATTTGAATGGATTCACAGTGAAATTGTTTTCAACAGTGCATTTTCTAAGTTCGTTTTTGAGTGCCAGGAATACCAATGTTCCAACCATAGGTACAGGTCGCAGAATGTGCCTTTCTGCTGCCAAAGCTCTGAAATTGTTTCAGTCAGATGTTTCTAATTCAGATAATGATAATGAACAATTAGATTTTTTGGAAAGTGATTCGGGCGTTGAATTTCCACCAGCGAAGCTAAGCGATCAGCTGTTTGGAATCTAGCAATTCTGATGAGTTTACACAGACAATGTCCCATTGCTACCGTATTTATGGTGTAAGAGAAAGAAAGCGCTCTAAATGAAGAGACAGTACTATACAATGGCTAAGCTACATTTGAGATCATCGCAGCTACAGTCTGTATATAACTGTACAAAGTAAATAGTAAATTGTGTGTGTGTAATGGCTCATTTTTCTGACATTTTTTCACTGAAATTTTGCTCAGCACTCTGTGAGAACTAAGAGCTCCTGAGTGCTAAACTAACCCAGAAACTTATCATAACTTTGGAATATGTTAAGAAATTGAACAAACTGAAGTTTTGTTTCAAAATTTAGATTTTTGCTACTCTTGTGGCTGCAAAATCTTGGTAAGTGAAAACAATTTGTTTGTAAAATGTTGTTGTGAAATTAACACCTGCTGAATTCTTCTTTCCTAAACAAATTAAACATACACTTATCATCAGATTCAAAATGTAAATTCATTTCTATTTTTAAAAATATATACTTTTATTGGGATTAGAAGTAAATTAAATTCTCTATTGCCTTTCTTGTACACCCACCCCTCTGCCATTTTTGTAAAGGGAAATTAATGTGGGCCAAGTCTGTCAAAATTCATGGGCCTGAAAGAGTTAAGCAGATGCACTCTGACTTCAAAGGAAACATCCCTAATTAATCATCTTGTACCACATGAATGTTAAGGGGGGGCAGTGAATCTATTCTTTTTTTTAAACCCTAAAATGGGGCCCCGGAACCCACAATGTAACAGAAAGTTGGAGTCTTTTATATAAAGAAACATAAAAACATATCAAAATCTTCAGCCCATCAGGCAAGTGTCTACTGCCGCTCCAAACAGAAAGCAAACAAAATGTTTACCTTGATACAACTTCCGGAGCCATCCAATAAGGGGTGCCCACCATTGTTTCTCTCTTGCCTCTCTCGGAACTCAGCTGTGCGCAGAAACCAAAGTCAGTCAGCTTGACAGCTCCAACCATCCCCAGGAGCACATTGTCACTTTTGATATCTCGATGGATGATGTTTCTATTGTGGAGAAACTGCAGAGCTTTCAGGCATTCCCTACACACTGCAGCAATCTGTCCTTCCTTCATGATTGTCTCTGTGACCACATCAGTAAGTGCACCACCATCTAAGTACTGCCATAAAAAGGCAGCAGAAATATAAAATGTCAATTTATATGGCAATGGAGATCTGAACAGAATTCTTGCATATTAAGTAGAACAAGTTGGCTCTGTGGCTAAGTCGATGCGAACGCTTCGTAATGCCGGGGTGCCGGGTTCGATCCCAACTGCCACGCGCCTTGCGCTGGTTTTGACAGTGATATCAAGAAAGCCGACCGTCCAGAAAGCAATGGCAAACTACTGGACATAAATTGCCTAGAGAAACCACACAACAGCCAGGGGCTGTTAGGGTTGGTTCTGCAACGACCTGTAAAGGATATGCAAACTAACCTAAGTAGAACCAGTTTTAATGTAATCATCATCATCTCAGACCCCTAACACTGACTGTCAATTGCTGGTAACTGTCTGGTAAGCTCCTTCTATCTCAGTTTGTCAGATCCAATGGACTTGCGATGTTTGTAAGTTTCAGGCAAATTACATTCCCAGGTCTTTCTTGGTCTGCCTATTCTCCTCTTCCCTTCTAAAGAACTCGACAGGATCATTCTGGGCAAACCGGTATACCATGTTACATGTCCATATCCTTGCATTTTCCATCTTTTCACTGTTGTTCCAAGAGGTAAATAGTCACCAATGGGTTTTCGTATATGGCTATGACACACACTATGAATTCTTGATAAATAGTAACAAGCAATTAAATTCCTTGTGGTTTCAGAGATGTGTTTGGTTCTAGAGATCAATCTTTACAATTCCATGGATAGCCAAACGTTATCTGAGTAATCTAACTATTTTAAAAAAGACTCCCATTTTATTTTAAGGAAAAAGAATTAACCCCCCCCCCCCCCCCCCCCCAATCCCAAACAAGCAGGTCACTAAATGCAGCTACTTAAGGATTTGCTCATTTTGGGCCAAAAGTTGCAGATATCATATACTGCAGCCTAGCTTTAAACCACAACACAATCTGCTAAAAACTATTTTTTTTTGTTTAAGGGTGAATACAGAAGAACATACAGAAAGATTCCAGTACACAGAGACAACATCACAGACTCAAAGAGGAGTCATTATTGTCTGATCACAACTAGAAACATCCTTTACAGAAAGAGAGAGGACCATGAGAGAAAAATCTTGACAGCATATTGTCATGACACGGAGAGGTGCCAGCATACAAAATGAGGTTTGCTGTTAGAGACTGCAAGACATGGAGAAGCATGAAAATCAATGCCAAGGCACTTGATGATGATGATGATGCTACTCGTATGTATGTGTTGTGTTGAGTCAACCGAAATCATAAAGTTCTTTCTAAACCAAAGTTACGATAAATTTGGCCAAAGTATTTTAGTTTCAAAGACACACTGCTTATGATATGTGACTGCTGATATTCAAGAGAGTGCGTAAATAACACATCAAAATGACTGCCACTCAGTTAATAGACATGAAACAAATTTCTGAAAAATAAAAAATAAAAATTAAACATTTTCAAGAACCCCAAAAAAAAAATTCTAAGAAAGAAAAACAAAGGAAAAACCAAATAAAAACCAAACTTCCAATAAAAAAATAAAAAATAAAAATGTTAACAAAAAGATCTAACCTCCATCACCACCCACAGCTCATGCTCCACATAGTAGCAGTCGAGAAAGTTGACAATATTCTCATGTCTGTACTGTTTCATGACATCAATTTCTGTGATAATCAGCTCCTTCTTTGGCTGGTTGTTCAGATCCATCATCTTAATGGCCACTATTTGGTCAGAGTCTTTGCACTTAGCCATGTGGACCATCCCTGAGGCTCTGTGTCAGATTTCATTAACATATTTATTCAGATTAACAATTTTACCAGTAAATTATCACAAAGTCGGCATCTGTGGCTTAGGCATTGTGAACGCGCTTTGTAATGCCGAGGTGCCGGGTTTAATCCCAGCTGCGGGCCTTACACTGGTTTTGACTTAGAGACGAAAATTTGCCTAGAAAAATGCCAGCCACAAAATGCTGGGGTTGGTTCTGCAACGTCCTGTATTGGATATGCAACTGACTGAGAATTATCACAAATGAGCTGCAGCAGAGCAGTGCCGAGGCTACTGTAATCTGGCCCAAATGTCTTGGGTTTGAAACCAGCATCCAAAAGATTTCTTTACCAGTGAGCTTAGCTCTCAGACTAAAGGTCTAAAACAGGGACCAGGACATACCATGGGAAGTAAAAGTGGCTAGAATAATGCTGACTACATCACTCATCGGGTGCTAGCTGGTGTATACAAAGTGAGCCTCTCATCATACGCACGATGTGCGATTGGCAGGAACAGAGTCCTTTATTTAAAGAAAATAACATCAAGTTAAAGTTGTGAGGATCAACTTCATTGCACCAGATCTTATTCCATATTTTTTTTTAAAAGTATCCAGAAACCATGAGCTGTTAACCCTTTGGCTCGGTACTATGGATATCGCAAACCTTCGGCCTTAATTCCATGATAGATACCATAAATCTGGGAGAAATGCAGCTTTTCTGCCTACCCCCGGGCTTGAACCCGGACAACAAGGAGTTCGTCACCTGGTTGCAGCACAGTCAGGTTTAGCCAACTGTGCTAGCAAGCCGGGCGTCTTATCCCATATGACTCAGTCTCTCTCTGCAGACCTGCTAGCGGCTTGCTAAGAGCATCGTACAAAGCATAAACTGAAGTTACAGCAGATTTCCGTACTAACTGCTCTACTGAACCCAATGATGCATCCATGAAATGAAACTATGGCCTTCACAGCGCAGAGGTAAACAGCTTGACCAATTTACCCTGAAGGATTCCCCCCCCCCCCCCCCCCCCCCCCCAATGAAAAAAATTGTCACAGATGATTAAATAAGGAAGTTTCCATTGAGGAGTGGTTAAGTAGTTTGCTCCATGCTCTGAAGGCTATGAGTTCAATTACAGACTTCATTCTTTGGTTCTCTAGTGCAAGTGTCTCAGATATCCTTAGGGGTCAATCATTGGAGCTACAGTGTTCAGTGCTTTGTGGGACTCTAGGGAGGCATACAGCCACTCTACAGGGTAAAACCTATCACTATATGATAATTATTACAGTCCCATAACACCTATTGTTGTTGAATCATTAGTTGCTATTGACTGTCAAATCAGTTCCCTCCATCTCTGCTGGTTATAATACTTGATGCAAGAAAGTTGTTCTCTTGCCTTTAAACACGATTTAAATGAAGAAATAACAGCACCTGTTAAATTATTTCAATCATGTAAAAAAAAAATTTCGGATGTTTTCTTTCTTAACAATCTTGCCAGGCTGCACTTTTACAGCCTATTTTTTGACATTTTTCCTAGCAAAGAGATTTGTTAACTCTGTTAACCAAGCAAATGTAACTTTAACTCTATTCTATTATGACATTGTTACTTCAAGCGCCAAAAATATTACACAGACACTGTTGTTTCTTAACCATGGGCTCAGCGCCACATACCCCACTACCTTACTAACAATCTAATGCAGAACTGTAACATCACAACCATGTGTTTCCCTAATACCCCACCCACAATGCAACACAGAGCTGAAAAATCACAACCTTGTGATTCCCCCATACCGCACCACCACAACAATATTACAAAGAAATGTTATGTCACAACCACGTGTTTCCCTCACATTCCAGCAAAACGATGGTACGCAGAAGTGTAACATCACAACCATGTATTACCTAAAAAAAAAAACACTAACATAAATGTCTCCAACAGTAATATGTAAGACACTTACCCAGACCCCAGTTTTTTCTGAATATCATATTTGTCTTGAGCATTACCTGGACTTGCCATTTTCCCTGTAAAATACAAGCCAAAAATGTTTGTTTTTTAAAACTGATTCTACATATTAATTTGAAAACATATTCCTTTTTATACTTTTGAAAAACATAAATTTTATGAGCTTACATAATAACAGAATATGAAGTAGCTTCAAAAAGTTCTAAGATTTGCTATTCTTGCATAAAAGCTGCATTACATCTTTAAAATTATAATATTTTACTACTGAAGTGATCAGACTGATCAAAATCCTCCTGGTTTATCTGTAATGGGAGACACCAGTTTTGGTTTTCTTATAAAATGTACAGCAATCCAGGAAAGTATCATCATCAGTTCTCGTTATGCCTAGTGGCACATGAGGCTTCAGAGAGGACTTTCCATGCTTTCCTGTCCTGTGCAATCTTCAGTGCAGTTTTCCATGTCAAAGATGCCACACTCAGGTCACTTTCCATCATTCGTCTCCATGTTGTTTTTGGGGGCCCCTGTTTTCCCTTTCCCTCTGGTGTCCATGTGAGAGCTGTTTTGGCAGGTATATCAGAAGTCATTCTCATAACGTGGCTAAGCCATTTCCATCTTCTCTTGGTAATCAAACTGTCTAAAGTTTCTTGGTTTGTGGCTTGAAGTAGTTTAGTGTTTGAGATTGTATCTGGCCAGAAAATTTTGATAATTCTACGTAGACATGTATGGTGGAAGATGGAAAGCTTGTGTGCATCCTTTTTGGTCATTCTCCAGCATTCCGCTCCATAAAGAAGAACTGGCAAAATAATGCTCTTGTAGAGTTGCAGTTTTGTTCCTCTGCAGTAATTGTTGGATTTCCAGATTTGCCTCATCCTTCCAAAAGCAGCTCTAGCTTTGTTCAGACGTGACTGTATGTCTTCCTCTGTCCCTCCCAGTTGGGACACCACACTGCCAAGATATGTGAAATGTTCATTTTCAAGTGATTGGTTACTTATGGTCACTGGTTGTTGGTTTGGACTGTTTGTCATGATCTTAGTTTTCTTTGTATTTATTCTCAGTCCCACCATTTCTGCTATGCAGTGTAGTCTGTTACTTTTCTCTTGTAAATGTTCATGTTTATGTGATAGGAGTGCTATATCATCTGTAAAATCAAGGTCCTCAAGCATGGTGAATGGAGTCCATCGTATGCCTCTTAATGTCCTGTCTACTGTGTTCTTTAGTATCCAATCAATCACAAGGTTGAAGAGGAGAGATGACATAACACATCCCTGTCTTACACCTGTCTTTACTGGGAAAGATGTATTGTAATTTTTTATATGAAGGAAAAGTCTTTATAGAAGAGAGCAATTATGTTGACTATTTTTCTGGAATTCCATAATGTCGTAAAATGTTCCACTGACCGTCTCTATGGATGCTGTCAAAAGCTTTCTCAAAGTCCACAAAATTAATATATTTACTTCTCTGCCATTTATTGCATTGTTCTAAAATGTTACGTATGGCGAAGATGTGCTCAGTTGTTCCTCTGCCCTTTCTGAATCCTGCTTGTTCCACTCGTAGGCATTTATCTACTCCTTTTTCAAGCCGCATTATGATGATTTTACAAAATATTTTGCTTGGTACTGAGAGTAGAGTAATTCCCCTCCAATTATTGCAGTCTGTTAAGTCTCCTTTTTGGGGGGATTTTGACTATTGTTCTTTCAGTCCAGTCATCAGGCAACACTTCTTTTTCCCAAATATCCTTGAACAATGGTTCTAGAATGCTAGCAGCTGTGTTGGGATCTACTTTGAGAAGTTCTGCTGGCAGTTCGTCTTTGCCTGGTGCTTTGTTGTTCCTTAAAGTGTGGATAGCTTTAAGGATTTCTTGTTTGCTTGGTGGTTCAGTCATAATGTCAATGTCCTGAGAGGCTGGTTGAATATCTGGGGGATTTTCAGGATCGGGTCTGTTCAAGAGGTCGGAGAAGTGTTTAGTCCACTGCATGTCTTGTTTTTGTTCTGTGGTGAGCAGTATGCCTTGGTTATCTCTTATGGGTATGCTGTGATAATTGTTTCTGTTTCCGATCCAGGAAAGTATCCTGTACTTTAAGTCATCCTGTCATTTTATTATTATTTTGTTATATTTGTTTTACACAATATTGGAATACCAAAGGAGCCATCGTGGTGTAATGGCTAGACAATTACCTGTCAGCCTGAAGGTCCTGGGTTCAAATCTGCACTGAGTTTAATTTTTCTTGTTTAAAACAAAAAACCTTGGCTGCTAGGTCGACACAGCCTAAAATGGGTGCCAGGTAAAGACCTGGGAAGTAAAGGTGGCAGCATGATGCTGACCACATTACCAATCAAGTGCCGAACGACCCACAAAAAATTTGAATCTAGCATCATATGCTCAAAAAAAAATGGTTTTTTACTTTATCTGAATACCATAATGTAGTCATTTCTAAAGGGTTCATCTGTGAGTGTGCTTTGCTTCTTGTCATCATCCTGAAGAAGAAGGCCAATTGTCAAAACGTCCTTTGTTTGTTTATTGTTATCAATTTTTATAAAGCTGATGTACAGTTTCTGTTTTTCCTTCTTCTTCTTCAGCATTCTAAACCCTTGAGGTTCTTCACTCATCTCTGCGGTTGGCCACCTCATTGCAGTTGGTGCCATCAAGTGTTCGCAGGTCTGTCTGGACATTATCTCTCCATCGTCTTCTTGGTTTGCCTTGTGGTCTACGACCATTCAGCTTCCTTGTGTATACAGTTTTTACCTCTCCGTCATCTGATATTCTCTCAATATGCCCCAGCTATTTCAATCTATTAGCTCTCATGATGCCAGTGATCAGTGGTGATCTTAACAGATTATGAATTTGTCGCTGTCACTTCTCACTCTCTATTCCCCACTGTTTGCATCTTTGATGGGTGAAAAGATTCATAAAAGATTATGTTTTTCCTATGATAAGAACAAGTTTTTTAATAAGAAGGTACAGATAAAATACATAATGAAGATATCTTTACAGAATTTATACTCATGAAGAAAACTGCTTACCTATCTCTGTACCTGTTCTATACCTGGCGCTCGCTGACTCTTCTTATGTCTATATCTTTCTTTCTCTCTCTGCCTCTCATTATCTTTTTCTATTATTTATCCCACCACCACCCCTTCCCCCAGGGTTAAATTCTTAAACTCTTAATGATTACTATTTTCAAATACTCATCTTTTACACAGTAATTGTATTTATTATATTCTTAGCAGTGATGAGGACACCTTGCTTCCAAAATCCTCAGAACGTCCTATCTTTTTATTTGCAATGACAATGTCTGCGTGATCCATTGGGGGGGGGGGGGGGGGGGGGCATCTTCAATTAATGCAGCACCTGCATGTCTATCAGCTCTCTCATTACCAACAACGCCTGCATACCCTGGGACGAATATGAAAGTAACTGCACACACAGGAGAGAGAAGTATACAATGGCTAACTTATTCTGTCCAATCTAGTCTATTCATTCTTTCTACTGCAGTGGCTACTCCGACCCATTCTGTTCAGTATTTCAACAATGTTTAGTTCAGCAAGGCTCAGAAACTGTTGCTCTAAAGAACACCGAGTTGGAAAGTGTTAAAATAAGAACAGTCTGGTACTGAAAAATGCAAGCATGTTGTGAAAAGGGGAAAATTGGGTGATATGGGCTGACCAGTTACCCTTCTCTGAGTCATCTTCTTCCTAGATGCTAGAACATTCCTTAAGTTATCCATACTGTCCGGTATCCTCTCTCTGCCTAGTATCTTCATGCTGAACAGACTTCAAAACATGTCCTGCAAGACTGTCCTCTCCTGGAGAAGCTGCAAAACTTCATGTGGCCACAAGCAGTAGACCTGACAACTAGGCTTTGGAGAAACTGAACAGACCTTGAGCTGACAGCACAGCTTATGGCTCAAAGTTAATTAGGGGATGATTGAAGTAGAAGATCCAGTACCTGGTCAACCTCAGAGGTTAGGTTAGTTGCGTATCCTTTACAGGACGTTGCAGAACCAACCCCAACAGCCCCTGGCTGTTGTGTGGTTTTTCTAGGCAAAATATACGTCCAGTAGTTTGTCATTGCTTTCTGGGCAGTCAGCTTTCTTGAAACCACTGTCGAAGCCAGCGCAAGGCTGTTGGCCCACAGCTGGGATCGAACCTGGCATCCTGGCATTACGAAGCATTCTCATAGACTTAGCCACAGAGCTGACTAGAGACATTCTAGTCAGATTAAATAATGCCGATGAAGGCGACTGGACCCAGACCGCTTTCTTTAGAAATAAATGACTCACAAAAATATACTTACTTAATGTTTCATTTATTTCGTTGTCGGTCATGGTTTTTTTCTGCGACCTTGGCCGCCTGGTCAGAATCTCGTCGTCACCACTGCCATCGTTTGTTCTCAACTCAGCAATTCCATCAGAAACTGTTTTTTCTGGTGATGCCTCTTTAGCTGTTGATGGGACATTGGCATTATCATCCTGGAACAAAGGATATATAAACTGTCATTGTTTAATCTCATCAAACAACATTCACATTTTGTTTCTTTTTGTCATATCGTGAAGCTTGCTGATCTATTTTTCTTTCGGTTTTAAATCTTTCCATTTTTTTAATAGCTTTACCACAGATCCCTAATTTCACGTACCTCATGTGTCTCGTCCTCCCTGAACTGCTACTATCTGCTAGTGCCCATCATACTCATCTATGCTGTGCTCTACTGTTTATTCTGGGGTTACACGTGTCTCTTCATTCCAATGGCAAGACATCAATGTGGCTGCTTCGGGATACGTCAGTTATTTTTTTTTTATTCATGTATGTGCTGATGAAGGCTCTGTAGCTGCAACGTTCACATTTTGTTTGTTATATTGTGAAGCTCACTATCTACTTTTTGTTCATTTTTATATCTTTCCAATTACCGCATCAAAGACACACACACAAAAAAGCATGCAGTAGTAAATCATGGCCTCACTGTATGTGTCAGGCCCCAGAAAACTCGAGTTTACAAAGATTTTACTCCAAGTACTGGTGATGGATATAAGGGCATCACTGTAAACAGCTGAGAGCATAGAAAAATAATCTCAATGTTTTAAAAGCTTTTCTCTTCTGGGATTATAGCCTGAAAGACTGACACCTGGTGACTTAGTCAAAAAGCGACTGTTCAGATGGGAATCAAACAGAAGGGAATCAAACAGAAGGGAATCAAACAGATGGGAATCAAACAGATGGGAATCAATCAAACAGAAGCAAATCCCAGACACCCTATTCAACTGTATAAAACAGTTACAATGTGCAGCACTATGGGTATGAAGTAACTCATGGATGGGTTATGCTCCTGTAAAGGTGCTGAAGACCGCACTGTACTCCATGATAAGTGATGGCCCTGGATACAGTGGCTGTGGTCATAATGACGGTGTTGGAATAGCAAACTACTCCATCTGGAGGCCTAGCATACTACTTTATCTGGAGGCCTCGCATACAGGGAGAAATAACTGCAGATGACTTTGAGTTAAGTGTGGCAATGATCCTACTTCAAGCTGTGGTCTAGGAAGTAGGCCTTCCACTCACAACCAAAGAAAGGAGGAATAACCGAAAAAAGGCAACCTCAGCAGATATTTTCTTAAAGCATGTATAAATAACAATATATCACAAAACATAAATTCTTATATAAAGGAATCCATACTGAAAAACAAAATACTAATAATTTAAGTCACTTAATATAAGAGACAGCAAAACAAGAAGAGCAGGAGTAGGAGAAGAATGAGAAGCAGAAACAGAGGCAGTGGCACCAACAGTAACAGAAACAGCTTAAAAGATTAAGAAGACTTACTAATTAACACTAAAAGTAATTATATGATAATGACACTCACTAATTCAATGCTGATTAACAGGCATATCAGTGGGCTTGTTAATCAACATAGAACTGGTACAAATAGCCACCAGACACTGGGGTTTATACTGAGGGGGGGGGGGGGGGGGAGAGGGGGATCTGAGCATCTATGGACATGTCTGGAGTGTAACGCTAATAACCTAACTAGCTAGCTAACTAAACTAAACTAATTAACTAATTAAACTAACTCACTAACTAAACTAAACTACCTAACCAAACTAAACTAACTAACTAACTAGCTACCTAACTAACCAACTAACTAACTAACTAAACTAACTAAACTAACTAAACTAACCACCTAACTAACCAACTAACAAAGCTAAACTAACTAGCTGGCTAACTAGCTAACTATCTAAACGAACTAAACAACTAATTAACTAACTAGCTAGCTAACTAATTAATAACACTCACTTTTATATCAAATTCTTCCCTTTGAGCATTAGCATAAGTACTATCCCTTGACTGTTCAGTATCAGCCTCTTCCTCGCTTGACTTGGCTTCGTGACTTTTCTCAGAGCTAGATGATGATCTGTCTTCCTCAGGACCAAAAGGCTCATCCACTTCTTTTATTGACGAGGCAACCACCATGAATTTTGCTGTTGATGGCCGGCGTTTAATGGAACGGGTGTATGTTTTCAAAGCATTCACTACAGCTTCTGGGTTCTCCCTTTGCTCCTTTTTCCTGTCAGAATTGTTGGAAAATTGGGTAATGTTATTTTTTTTTTTACAAAATAAATTGTAGTGAATCAAGAGGTCAGGAAATAAGGTGGCATTAGACTAAACACATGCTGAGAAAACCTGTGAATATAACTCAAGGTGTGCAGCACAATTCTTCAACTTTTTTTTTAAAGGTATTTGTGACCTTTTCAAAGTTGTACCAGGCATTTGCAGCAGTAAATTTATGCATGTACATGAGGATCTGATCTGTTGGTGACTTCTGCTACCATCAATGATGAACTGCATTTCTAATGTCAGACTGTTTGTGTTAGCACTTCGGATGGCTACTGTAAGCTTTAATGTGTGTGTATGCTAGATATGCTGAGACAGCAGTCTGTCACTCTTTCCACAAGGGACTGTGATAAACATTCTGTGTGTTTTTCGTTGGCACAGGAGCGGAGCAAAGATGGGGTGACCTGTTTGCTATGAAGCTGAAACTAAGACTACTAGACCAGACCATGCACAGAGATACATTATTTTAACATTTGTTCTAAAGCTGGTGGCAGAGGGGAGCCAATAGAAGGGATGATCAGTATTAACATGACTCAACTGAATGCAGCGTAGCTACCAAGAAAACTAAAATCTCAGTTTGTTTTATATACGGTAAATACAAAAGCATTTAAACAAGTTAAAAGTTTAAAAGTTAAAGTCGAGAGAATCGACTTCACTGTTTTATTCTGTATGGATTGGTCTCTCTCTTTGTAGAATGGCTAGTCGCCTGCTGAGAGCACTGCACAGAGCAGGGATCCCTGTAAAAAATTGCACTCGTGAACTGAAGGGCACAGCCATGAAATGAACCCATGACCTTCAGAGCACGAGGCAAACAGCTTGACCACATCGCCATGGAGAACTGTCAAAGATTTTTTTTGGGGGGAGGGGGAGGGGATTAACATCTTATCCATGCATCGGGGCCCTAATTCCTCAGATTCAAGATCCCTTGACCAAAACTGCCAAAAAAATTTAAAATAACAGGAGATAAAGACAGTTTTTGATGCATTTTTATGGTGCAACAAAAGATTTAGTCATTTGCCTCACGCTCTGAAGGTCACGGGTTCATTTCATGGCTGCATCGCTCGGTTTTATGAGCCTAATTTTTATGAAGATTCCTGGGACTGTCACTGGACCTACAGAGTCCGTGCTTCATGTGATGCTCTTGGCAGGCGGCTGGCCCTTCTGCGAAGAGTGACCAAGCCATGGGGGATAAAACCCAGCACAATGAAGTTTTTCAAGTTTACTTTAACTATTTTTTAAACCTAAACTTTTAACATTTATTGTACAACAGATTGAAAACCAGTTTAATATTTACACAGACACACAATTTTTTTTAACCAACTTACGAAATATCTGATTTGCTCAAAAGTTGTGCCCAGGAGTCTGGCAGCCCAACAAACTCCTGAGTGTCTTTGTCAAAGCCAACATGGTAGTTTCTTTTAACATTAAAGGGTTCCCCGATGGCCAGGGGAGCTTCTTCATCTGCGCCGCCAGATTTGTTTGAGCTTGTGGAATTTTTGGGCTTGCGAAAGAAGCCCCTGAGACTCTGCATTTTGGAATCTGGGCTTCACTCAAAGTCTGGGGAGAATAAATGACATACTTGTACAATATTTATAATATATAGTATCTGAGAAGAATAAATGATATGTATGTATATGTATATATATATATATATATATATATATATATATATATATATATATATATATATATATATATATATATATATATATATATATATATATATATATATATATATATATATATATATATATATATGATATACAGCATATGTCTGAAAAAATAAATGAATGACATATAGTTCAAAATATATGTGATATGCAGTATCTGAGGAAAAGAAATGATATGCTGTTATACCAAATATATGTGATATACAGAATTTGTCTGAGGCGGGTTAAAAAAAATGCCATACATGTTCAAGATGTATGTGATATACAGATACACAGTAGGTATCTGAGGAGAATAAATGCTACAGACACAGTATATGTGATGTTCAGTATCCAGCTAGGGTAATAAAGCAGTAGCAGCAACAGTGACAGCAGTTTTCATAAAGAGGGAGCAGGAGTTGGAGGAGGGGGAGAAGAAGAGGGGAGAGGAGGGAAGAAGGAGAAGGGCGGGAGGAAGAAGAAAAGGAAAAAGGAGCAGGAGCAAAAAAATTTAGCTTATTTTGTTGTTGTGCTTATAAAAAAAAACAAAAAAACAGCTGCATAGGAAGTCTGGCCAATACAAGTCTCATAACACATAATTTGTTCCGCTCAGTGGCCACTGTGTCAGATTTATTCAGACAGGATATTCTCAAGGGATTTTCCTGTACATTATGTAGTTTGTGCTTGTTTCCTGAGAGAAACAGGATGAGACAATGAGGCAGGGTCAGAGATAGAAACAGGGTGGGGGGGGGGGGGATACAGAGACAGAAAGAGAGAATGGGGGGGGGGGAGAGAAACAGACAAACATAATGAGAGAAAGCGAGACAGGAGATAGATAAAAACAGAGATGCAGAAAGAGAGAAAGAGAGGTCAAGAAACAGAGAGAAAGACAGAGAGAGGGGCAGAGTTAACCAGAGCCAGTTATGGAATGGGTAAAGAAAGTGAGCGCTACATGCAAAGTATGCAGGACACAGAAATAAAATATGAGAAGGAGTAGAAAGAAGGAACCAAATGAGAAGGAAAATGATGAAAAGGAGGAGGAGGAGCATGAAGAATAATGAGGATGCTGGAAGAGATGAGGGAAGAGGAAAGAAAGAAGAAGAGAAGAGGAAAAAGAAAAGGGAGGAGGAAAAAGAAAGGGGAGGAGAAAAAAGGGGAGAAGGAAAAAAGACTGCGAGAAAAGAGGAAGAAGAAAGGAAGAAGAAGAAAAAAGGAAGGAAGAGGAAGAAGAAAAAAAAACGTAATAATACAGAAACGCATTGAACAAACATGACTTTCAGAATTTCCTTGCGGGATCAATATGTACAGTACACTTGATAATTCCACGACATTATGGAGTTGCATTTCATGCAACACAAGCTACATATGTGGCATTTCTGGTGTGTGAAGTTAAACAAAAAACTGAAGAAACATCAATACCCAGCAACAGTACAACATTGTATCGGGAACATAAGTCTAACAAGACATAGGTTTTCCAACCTTTCAAGCAGGATATTCTTAACAATACTAAAGGTGAAATGTAAAGATAAAGGTGAGAGGACCAACTTTATTGCATCTGGTTTTATCCCATATGGCTCAGCTTCTCTCCACACAACAGCTAGCTGCCTGCCGAGAGGGTCGCACAGAGCACGACCTCCGTAGCTCCCACGACGATCCCAACGGATCTCCGTAAAAACCTGCACGCTTGAACAGTACCGCACCGCTGTGAAACAAACCCATTACCTTCAGAGCGCGAGGCAAATGGCTTAGCCGCTTTGCCACAGAGACCCCTAACAGCACTAAACAACTCACTGTATGTTTCTTTGTCATTCCAAAGACTGCATCACACTCTTGATGTTTCCCATAAGACAATGACCAAAAGCGGAGAGGGGTGTAGGGCAGCGCTATATAACTGGATGTCAGCTGGCACCGGAAGGACAATTAAATCCACAAACAATGGACTCAATTATAATGAGGCCCTCAGGGCACACTAAAGAGTCCATGTTTATTATTTTTGTCCCCACATATCAAGCAATCAAGCAGAATCCGTTAGGCAGAGACCCAGCAAGTGACCCACGGATCGTTGCTAATTATGCTGCATTATTGATCTCTCTGTGATGGGGCACAGGTTTCTGGCCCTGACGATCTCAGTTCTGAATATTTCTGCCTTTCGGTCAACTTAGTTGAATACCCCTGGTGCAAAGCATGAAGTAGGCCAAAAAACAATATGGGAGTAAAAACAAAAAGAAGAGATACGCTAGTAACAATATGATGTGCAAAAACCAGTCAGTAGAACTTGTATTTTCATCGACACCCGAAGTGCCGAAACGGGAATAAAGAAGCAGCAGAAAATGTCTTCTATCATAAAGAGATGTTACGCCTGCGTCTAAATCAGTAATTAAAAAAAAAAATTTTGTTTATGACGGTGTTCAACGGTACGCAGTACTACACCTTTTTTTTTTTTTTTTTCAGCATTAAATGCAACAGAAACCGTGGTGCGTACTGGCATTTTCTATCGTTCATCTTTTACACATGAACACTCTGTGCTGAGTACCCCCCCTCCCCACCTTTTCCCACCATTCCTCCCCCCCCCCCCCCGCAAAAACCCAGGGATGGTCTGAATTATTAGTTTAACCTCTTCCACAGTGTCGCTGCTCAACTTCTTCAAACCTAAGTATCTTCCTTTCAGTTGAACCAAACTCTTAGGAGTTTAAAGGTAAACAGTGCTTTTGACTAGAAGAGTTAGATAGATTGTAAAAGTTAGTTGAGTATCCTTAACAGGATACTGCAGAACCAACCCCAGCATTGTGTATGTTTGTGTGTGTGTGTGTGTGTGTCTGTTGTGGTCTTTCCAGGCAAATTTACGTCCAGTAGTTTGCCACTGCTTGCTGGAGTGTCAGCTTCTCGATAACACTGTCGAAACCAACGCAAGGCGCAAGGCTGCAGCTGGGATCGAACCCAGCTACCTGGCATTACGAAACTCGTTTGCAACGCCTAAGCCACAATTGCCGACAGAAAGATTGTAAATATGTTAGTAATTTCGGCTATCCTCCGACAAACGGTCGGTTAAGATGGCGGCGGCAAAATTCCAGCCGAGCCGCGGTCACGGGTCATTGCGCACTTGGGGTCACGGGTCAATTGCGCGCTTTCGGCTACTTTATGTGCGCTTTTCCGGCGACAATGGCTACCGCCTCGGGGCCCCACGCAGCGTGGATTGGGGCTAAACTAGATGGCTAGGACTCACAAGCAAAGCTGCAGGAGATGCGAAAGCGTGAGCGGCGTGGAGGCCACATGGCGGCAGCGGTTGTTAGCGAAAAACCGCCGGAAG